CTTACATTTGCTATTTTCAACCATGAAAATATTCTGAAAAAATTCACCAATTCCGGCCATTAAAGCCTCAGTTAGAGACTTGGTAGTGAGAGTTGACAACTCATCATTCCATTGGCAAATTTCCATATCAAGTTGATAAATTTCTCCAATTAAATGGTATCTTTTTTCTTCCACCAAATAATATTATAAGGGATGAAAATTTATTTCATTAAGAAAATGGATCTCTTCTTGAAGATCCAAAATTTTTTGTTTACGCCAAGAGATTTCATCTAGACTATTTGGAATGTATGAATCCAATTTGTTTTTCATTTCTTACACTTGACATCCCACTGGGCATGCCAAAAATTGTTGGCTTTTTTTTTTTTTTCTACGAAGGAAAATATCATAAATGCGAGCGTACCAGCAAGGATTGAAAAACCCTTACAGATTAAATTCAAGTCAATTATCAAGCGATTGATATTGACGGTGTGAACATTCACATTAAGGGTATTTTGGTAATTATGTCACCCATAGGACTTATTGAAACATAAGAAAATAATGTGAACTAAATAGAACATAAGTAGATGAAAAGGGTATTTTGGTCTTCTTATCTCAAATTGAACCTAATGGAATAATCAAAAAGAATATGGGTTGGATGGAATAAAACTCCTAGAAAATAGATTTATCAAAAAAGCTCCCTTTTTTGATTAATAATTTATTGAAACGTGTGGACAAGACTTTTGAATATTTATATAACGAAAAGAGTATGTGGACAATTTAAAGTTCAACTCTTTTTCTTTATACATATTATTAAAATTATACCAAACAAATTTACAATTTATTTAAAAATTTAAGCTAATAATCTTTACAATATATATTTTAAATTTTACCACATGAGTCCATTGTAGAGCCTCCCTATTACTTTCCTCATATCAATAAAAAGAAAATTATTGTTTCATTTCATTAATTTGTGGGGAAAAAAAAAAAGAAATGTCAAAAGAGTAACTCGTAATACAGGTGAGAGCTGAAAAAGTCCCCCTCCCCCCCCCCAAAAAAAAAGAAAGATAAAAATGTATGGAAATGTGAAAAAGGATATTTTGATCTTATTATAAAAAAAATATTTTTTTAATACTATGCATTTATTATTTTTTGCTAAGAACCTTTGCCTGCCGCCAACCGTTCCTATAGATGACAACACCTCTTAGAGCATCTTCAATGCTTCATCTTTTGTTTTATCAAATTTAAATTTGATGAAAAACGTACAATTTTGGTACTCCAACGTTAACATCAAACTAGTATCAAATTAAGAACTTCTTAATTTTTTCATCAAATTAAGGATGACTGGAGTTTTTTTTATCAAATTACTATAACTGTTGGGACGAAACACCGGACAACCTCTTCCTTGCTTCTGACTTCCCATAAATTTACACTAACCGGTCGACTGGCAGAACATCCTTCCAGTCGTCCTCCCATGGTTTGATGAAAAATAAAAAAGAAAATCGTTGGAACACTTGATATTGAATGAAGCTTTTACTCAAATTTGATTTTAAAAAAAAAGTAAATTTTGGAGATACTCTTATAACATCCTTTTGTCAAAAAGCTACCACCTCTGCTTCGCTGGTTGACAACCATTTTCAAATACCATCTCGAACAACCACCCCCTTGTCGCAAAACTATCACCATCGGTGATTAACCACTACCTTTGGATACCACTTCCTACAGTTAACAACTACCTCAACCCAATGCCAAGAGCCTAACATGTATACCCTTAGGGCATGTTTGATTGGAAGGATTAAAGCATGGGATTAGGATTATTAATCCGTGGGCCCAATCATCCTATGTTTGTTTTGACATTTTGGTTTAGGATTATTAATCCAATGGATAATTAATCCAACAAATTTGTAGGATTATTAGTAATGGGGTAGGGGTGGGATAGTTAATACCACACTAATTTGATAAGATTATTAATACCTCACTATTAGTATTGTGAATCAAACATGGCCTTAGAGCACCACCTCTTGCTAAAAATTATAGCTAATGACCAACAATTGCTTTCGACCACTATCTAACTGTTAATAACTGCGTTCGACCACTACTTCTTTTCAATGACAATATTTTTATAAAATCTTTTCTTTTTTTCTTTCTTTTAAGAAAAAAATGTTAAGAAGTCCATTTTTAGGGCACATATGTGATTAGGTTCAATGATTGTTTTGTTTTGATTATAAAGATATAATTAATGAACTTAATTGGTGAGAACAATAAATTATTATTTTAGAAGATAAATTTTATTTATTTATTTATTTATTTATTTTTACCCATTATTGCTGCACTGTTGGTTGCTGAAAAAATCATCGGAGGTAGTGAGTAGCGATTGGTTTTGGCAACCGACAATTGTGCTGTTTGGTATAGTTGTTTAAACAGATTATAGATTATAGCTTAACAGATTATAGATTATGACTTTAATCAGAAGCTGTTAATCTGTTTGGTATAGCTATTGGATTATAGATTTAAGTTGCTGAGTAGTGTTTGTTAAATAAGCTGTGAAGTAGCTTTTTCAATTAATTTTTATTTTTTATTATTCACTATTTATCTACATTTTTTATAAAAAATAATAATAATATTTTATAGTCCATTTGAGTCTTTTTCTATTTTTAAAAAAATAAAAAATAAAAAAATCTAAGAATATAACCGTGAATTAATATGTCCACAGCAGAAACTGATAATCAGAAGCAAGGGGCGAGCAGCTTCTCAGAATGAGTTTTTTTTACTTAAAATAAATTGTTACAATCAGAAGTTGTTTGAAATAAGTTTAACCAAACAGTCCAAAATAATTTTTTAAAAGCCACAAGTCATAAGCTGGCTCAAAAAAGCCCCACCAAACACCCCCAATGACTAGTGACATTGGTGATATAGAAAGATATATAGATTAGATGAACATGGTAGCTGACATGAATAAATAAATAAAATATTAGACTTATAGAACCGAGTCAAGACACTCCCCTTGTACTCCCTCCTTGCAGGGTCTTCGGGCCCATTTTTAGGCCCAATTTTGATAATTCGAACTGTTCATATTTTAAGATTTATTCAGTATATCATACCTGTAAAAAATCAAGTTAATCGGATATCAGAAAGCATGTGTTCGGAAAAATTGAATTAAAAACTATTTTTTTAAAGAATGTAATAAACAATTTTCCGAACACATGCTTTCTGATATCCAATCAACTTGATTTTTTTACAGATATGATATACTGAATAAATCTTAAAATATGACGGTTCGAATTATCAAAATTAAGCCTAAAAGTGGGCCCGAAAGCCCTACAAAGAGGGAGTGCAAGGGGAGAATCCCAATTCTATAGAACCACCCCTCATTTTTAGGATTTATTACACTTTTTACCCCAAAATTATTGTTAAACTATTTATTTAGTCCCTGAATTATCGATTGAGTCTACTTAATCTCTAAAATATATTTAGTCCTTAAACTATTGATTCAATCTATTAAGTTCCTAAAGTATTTAATTCAAACCTATTTAGTCCCTGAAAGGATTTCAAAAATAAAACATATGCCCATAAGTATTATAAATTAATAAAAAAAACCTTATCAAGTTAAGAATTTTTTTTTTCCAAGAAAAATCTTAAGTCTTTTTTGTCTTTAAAAAATATTTTTTTCATTATGTGTCTAAATTAGTATCATAATCTGGTTCTCAGTCTTGCCAATAAAATGATATGAGTATTAAACATGCTGTAGAAATAAAATAAGATAATTTGAATAATCATACTTCGCTACGAATTATAATAGAACAATAATACATTAAGTTATAAAAAGAATTTAGCAAAAAATTTAAAAACAATCAATAAGAAATTATAAACAAAATTTGATATATAAAATTAGATAAAAAGCTTATATTTCAACTAGATAGAGTGTTTTATTAATTTATAATATTTATGGGTTAATATTTTTTTTTTGTAATCCTTTTAGTTCCTAAATATATTTGAATTAAATATTTTAGAGATTTCATAGATTCAATCAATAGTTTAAGGATTAAATATATTTTAATTTATCTAGTTTAGGAGGTAAGTAGATTCAATCAATAATTCAGAGATTAAGTAAACAATTTAGTGATAATTTTAGGATAAAACGTATAACAAGACACTTGATTATAAATTTAATTTTTAAAATTTGTTCGACAATAGTCTTTTAAGTAGATAATTTAGTGATAATTTAAGAATAAAATGTATAATAAACCCTCATTTTGATGACCTCAAAAGATTAAAAAGTCAACAATGATTCATCCCCTTACAATTAGAGTTCTAATTGAATTCTAGTGTAATAAAAAAAGAAAGAAAAAACTAAAATATCACATTAAATGAGCCACACACATAAATTAAGCCTATTAGAGCTCGGAAAAATGTCTGAGGGTCACAATTTTTATGGTTCAAATGGCTCAAAATTGCAAAAACGACGTCGTTTTGGCAATTTCGAAGTTGTTTTGTACTCAAAACGACGGAGTTTTGACAATTTCGAGCCATTTGAACCACAAAAATTGTAACCCTCAACCATTGTTGTTAGAGCTCGGTCCCTAAAACTCTCAAACATCTCTCTTAAAACGTAAGTCTATTGTCTAACAAATTTTAAAAATTAAGGTTAGATTTAACATCTCTTAAAAAAATTAAAAAATTAAAAAATCACTATCATATTTAAATCATATCATTTTATTTAAGTCATATTATTTTTTTGTCACATCACTTCAAATACAATTCATATTTCATAAAAAATTAAAAAATAAACTTATTTGGAATCTCTCAAACAATTCTTAAATTATAACCGAGTGCCCTGACAGTTAAGAGACAGACAAACAGAACCTTAACTGATAATAGTAAAGTTCACCAAAAGGGTAACCGCATGAAGATAAATTGAAGTGGATCCCACCCAAATCAACGTCACTTGTTTTCTTGAACGGAACAACACCCTGCCAAGCCCAACTGTATGGGACTCATCATCATGGTTATTACTCCCTGATGGCGAACCTTCCCATCAACATACCAACCTTCGCTACAGCCAAAGTCATAGATGGTCTTCCTCTCTCTCTCTCTCCATAAAACTCTCTCTTTCTCTTTCTAAAACTCGAATTAGATCTCGTTTTCCCTCGACATTTTCCCGAGAAAACAATGTCCGACGCCTTGATCAATGGACTCGCCGGTGCCGGTGGTGGAATCATCGCCCAGCTCATCACCTATCCTCTCCAAACTGTACAATCTCTCCCTCTCTCTCTCTATATATGTATCATCTCACTGATTTTTCAATATATATATAGATATATGAATTTTGTTGATCTAGGTCAATACAAGGCAACAAACGGAAAGATATTTGAAGAAAGAGAAGAGGAAACTTGGGGCTATAGACCGAATGTCTCAGGTTTGTGCTTAGTTCTTTAAATTGCTGTTTACATTTTTAAATTTTCTGTTTACGTTGATGATTTTGAAGTGATGATCAACAGGTTGTTAATCAAGAGGGATGGACTCAGCTATACGGAGGCTTGACGCCCTCGCTGGTCGGTACGGCTGCGTCTCAGGTGAGCTCATTTTAGCCCTAGTTTGCGGTTGCTGATATTGTGCGCCTTACGTTACAGAGCTTGTTCAACTGTTTTAGTTTGCTACACTATTTGGAATTCCATTTATGTTTTCGTTCAAATTGAATTTGAGAGTGAAATGGTCAAAAGTTAGTGTGTAACAGTTTTAGCACGGCTGAATGATGTATTTATGTCATATATATATCTTGATAGCTCGGTATTCAGCACAATAGAACCACTAATCTGGAGATCAATTCCACCGGCTACTAGCAGGGGCCCAAATTAAAGCCAAGGCAAAGCCTGTCTAGACTGGCCCAGGAGGTATCGAAACTGAGAGCATGAAGGGAGGTAGCACACCCAGGCCCTAGGCCAACCCCTTCGGGTTGTGTTTATGTCATATTTACATAGTAGTGTTGGGTGGGGGTTGCACAGGCACAGCTATTAGAGATTGATATCTTATAACTAAAGGTGTGAGCAGCATGTGGTCCCATGGTGGTGGAAACTGTGCAATTGTTGCATTCATTCGTGACAGATTATCTCAAATATTTAATTATTTATGGGTCTTGTTTTATCTTATTGGAAAATGGTTACAAGTGGAATTTTCATACAAAAAGCTCACTTGAAATAATTTGGCAATGGCGTTTTTAAAATTATAAGCCCATGTGTTTTGGAATGATGGAATCACAATTAGCCACAAATATTTTGTTTGTGTAACAACACTCTATTTAGTTTCCCTTAAAGGGGTGAATAGTTGAAACCATGTTTGAGTGTTTAACATGTCACTTACTCCTTGAGTCCGGGTGTCTGTAGATGAGTGAAATGTACAAGTATAACATCACCTTTTCCATCTTTGATTACTGATTCTATGACCTCAAGTTTTATGCAAGAATGGGTTTGGACTGAAATAATATTCTTCAGGCTTTTTCCTCACCTTGTCTAATTTTCTTTAGGTGTGTGTTCAAGCTTATTGGTTTTTGTTTAAAAATATGGTATATAGTCTATTGTAGCAATAATAATATGAAGTGACCTGGATTTAGTGATGCTGACATCACGACCATAGGTACCTAATATCCCAAAATCATGGTTTCAAGTATTACTCACAGTCACCATGTTGGTGGGCCTTGGTGTTGGCTGATATATCGTGATATACAAAAACAATGGATCAAGTGGTTCAAGGAACTGGTCGCAAACATGAAAATACACACAGGCCAAAAAAAAAGAAGAGTAATTGTGCTATGTCTCTCTTTCAAGTATAGTAAAAAAAGTAATGTTTATGTGCTCAGATTGCTTGATTTGAGGTGTGTCTATGAAAATGTTGCAGAAATTAAGAGGTTTATATGAATTCTCCTACATGTGTCCACATATGGTACAGAGTGCAAAATATCATGAGCACAACTTAACAATTATAAAAGTCATTCACATCAAATTTTGCCACTAAAATATGTGATTTTCAAAGTGAAGGAGATAATTTGTTGAAGCCTTGAAGAAGTGACTTTCTGTTCTTCCAACGGATTTGTTTAACAATACACTCGTCATCATTTTACATCTCAGTCAAGGTCAAGACATGGTTTCTATGATAAGTTCAAAGATTCCAAACTTACCCATTGCTTAACTTTAGAAATTCATCATCATTTGTATCAATACGGATGCATTTTGGGATTTACCTTTAGTAGGACTGGAAAACATTCAGAAAACCTTGAAAGTGGTATGCGAGTTGATGAAAACTCATAATGGAAACTTAATGTTAACATGACTGTTCTTAGTATGCCACACTTCTAAAAAGCATGACATGTTAGATTATTTCAGATTACAGAAATAGACTACTTTTTAAGTTTAAATGTGCATCATTTGTTTAATTAGATTTCTTATTTCTTATGCAATGGCAATTTTTATGGTACAGGGTGTTTACTATTATTTCTATCAAATATTTAGGAACAAGGCTGAAGCTGCTGCACTTGAACATAGAAAAAAAGGGGTTGGTGATGGATCAGTCGGGATGTTCTCATCACTTGCGGTGGCTGCTTTATCTGGGTGATTTAATTTGGTTTTAGCATATTTTGAGTTTGTTAGCCATTGTTAAACTCTTAAGACAAATCACATCATTTGTTAATTCTCGTTGTTCTACTTAGGCCTCGTTTGGGAACAGGCTAATTTAATAACTTTTTGGCTATTTGGCTTAAACATGAGCTAAAAAAAACTAGTATATTTGGGATGACTTTTTGGCTTTTTACGAAAAGATGTGCAAAAAGTAGAGAGAAAAGAAAATCTTTGACTTTTTGGTATGAGTTGTTGGCTTTTTGGCTAATTTAGTAATTTTTTGACTTTTTGACTAAAAAGTTCGGTTGCCAAACGAGATCTAAGAGTTACATAATTAATCTATTATTCAAGTTACTTTTAACGATTTTAGGTTTTCCCTAACAGATCTCGCTAGTTTTTTATTTCCATCCATGTCCACTCAATGGAAAATATTAATTTGGTTCAATTATAGCCAACTCTAATGCTTTGTTACATGGATACATAGAACCAAACCAAACCAAACCAAGCCTTAAGTCTCATCAAATGGGGTTGGCTACGTAAATCCTTCTCCACTCGACTCTATTAACGGCCATTTGGCTAGTCAAATTAAGGAGATTCATATCTCTATTTACCACACTAGCCCACATTAATCTAGGTCTGTCCTTTCCCCTAATACTTCCATCTACTGTCACTGTATCGTAACTCTTCACTACTGCCTCTGTTGGACTCCGTTGTATATGATCAAACCATCTCAATCTGTTCTCTTTCAACTTATCTTCTGTTAGTAGTACTACTACCCATTCACGAATATACTCATTACTAACTCTGCCTTTTCTAGTTTTGCCATACATCCACCTTAACATTCTCATCTCTGCAACGTTCATCTTATTTGCATGTTGTTTTTTAGTTGCCTTATATTCCGTCTCATACAACATCGCTGGTCTAATAGCCGTTTTATAGAACTTTTCTTTTAGTTTAAAGGGTTCTTGTTTATCACACAGTATCTCAGATGTACTCCTCCACTTAAACCACCCTGCCTTAATTCTACGGACCACATCCGCTCCAATCTCCCTAGCCGTTATAATAATCGATTTTAAATAATGAAAATGTTCACTCTTAGGTAATTCTTGGTTCTCAATTTCACTTTTCCTTTACTTCCATTGTTATTGTTACTAAAATTACACTCTATGTACTCTGTTTTAATTCTATTTATCCTAAATCTTTTAGATTTAAGTGCTTCTTTCCATGTCTCCAAGGCCTCGTTTGGCAAGTTAACATTTTAGCCAAAAAGTCAAAAAGTCACTAAAAAAGTCAAAAAGTCTATAACCTATACCAAAAAGTCAAAGATTCCTTTTTCTCTCTACTTTTTGCACATCTTTTCGTAAAAAGTCAAAAAGTCACCCCAAACATACTAGTTTTTTTTGCCTCATATTTTAGCTAAAAAGTCAAAAAGTTACTGAAATAGCCTGTTCCCAAACGAGGCCTTCATATGTTTTTTTTTTATTAGTTAAATTTCCTTAATAATATAGCTCTTCATCCTGAATATTTCTTGTCAACTCATTCATAACTAAAGCAAATAATAATGATTTAAGGTTGATCCTTGGTTTAACCCCACAACAATTGAAAATTCACTTGTCTCCTCAGCAGGCAATCTAATAGTAGTCACCATACCTTCATACATGTCTCTAATTACATCAATTTAACCTTTTGTCACCTCTTTCTTATCTAACACCCGCCAGGTTATATCTAGAAACATTCTATCATATGTTTTCTCAAGATCGATAAGAACTATATAAATGTCTTTTTGCTTTTCTCTATACTTTTCCATTACCCTCCTCAAAAGATAAATCGCGTTCATTGTTGACCTATCAGGCATAAATTCAAATTGATTCTTTGACACCTCTGTTATATCTCGCAATTGACTCCATTACTCTCTCCTACACTTTCATTATGTGTCACATCAGGTTTATTCCTCTATAGTTGTTGCAATTTTGAACATCTCCTTTATTCTTATAAATTGACAGTAAAATACTCTTCCTCTGCTTCTCTGGCATTTTCCTAGTCAACAAAATTTTGCAAAATAACCTAGTCATTCAAGCAACTCCCTTCTTACCCAAACATTTTCAAACTTCAATAGGGATATCATTGGGTCCTAAAACCTTATTCGATTTCATCTTCTTAAGTGCAAGCTATGAGTTTTAGAGAAGAAAAGAGATTGGGATATGATTGTGATATCATTCCTTTTTATATTAATGAAGATTAATAATCACAAGGGAGCCCTAAAGTATAGAATAATAATAATATTCTAACACTTCTCCTCAAACTGGTGCGAAAATATCTCTCATGCCCAGCTTGCCTAGGATGTCATGCAATGGCTTACTCACAACTCCCTTGGTGAGGATGTCAGCGAATTGTTTACCAGACTGCACAAATGGAATACATATTGTGCCACTACTGAGTTTCTCCTTAATGAAGTGGCGATCAATCTCAACATGTTTTGTCATGTCTTGTTGAACTGGATTGTGAGAGATGTTGATGGTGGCCTTATTATCACAGTATAACCACACAGGATCCGTCTGATCAATACGTAGATCATGCAATAATAACTTCCCTTATGCCATAGCTCTAAACTCAGCTTCTGCACTTGATTGGGCTATCACATTCTGTTTCTTACTCCTTCGAGTAATTAGGTTGCCTCCAACAAAGGTGCAATACCCTAAAGTCAACCTCCTATCAGTTACTGATCTAGCCCAATCCTCATATGTATAAGCTTTCACATGAAAATGATCATGCTTTGAAAAATAAAGACCCTTATTAGGAGCAGACTTCAAGTACCCGCAAATTTTTTTTGACAACCTTGAAGTGAATTTGATGAGGAGCATGCATAAACTGGCTAACCACACTGACAGCAACAGTAATTTCAGGACGGAAGTGAGATAGATAGATGAGCTTACCCACTAAATGCTAATAGCCCCCCTATCAATAGCTGCTCCTCCTTTATCATCCCCCAGTTTTTTATTGGGTTTCAGTGGAGTGTCACAGGTTTTGCAGCTAAGCATCCCAGTTTCCTTCAATAGGTCAAGCACATACTTCCCCTGTGAGATAAATATTTCATATTTGGAGCGAGCAACTTCAATTCCCAGAAAATACTTCAAGCTCCTCAAGTCTTTGATTTTGAACTCACTAAATATTTCTTCAACAGAGGTATTTCCTCACTATCATCACCTATAAGAACTATGTCATTCACATAAACAATGAGCGCTGTAATCTTACCACGTAAGGAATGTTTTACAAACAAAGTGTGATCTGTCTAACTCTGTTTGAAGTCATATTTAAGCATAGCCTGAGTGAATTTTTCAAACCAAGCCCTTAGAGATTGTTTAAAACTATATAATGACTTCCGAAGCCGACATACTTTACCCTCTGTCTGATGATCCTTAAAAGTAGGAGGAATGTTCATATATACCTCTTCTTCGAGGTCACCATGGAGAAATACTTTCTTTACATCAAATTGATGAAGTGGCCAATCTAGATTAGCTGCTAAAGAGAGAAGTATTCTGATTGAATTCATCTTAGCCACGAGTGCAAAGGTCTCCCACCATATGTCTGAGTGAATTCTTTTGTCACAAGTCTAGCCTTATAACGCTCAATAGAACCATCCGCTTTGTGTTTCACAATATATACCCATGTGCATTCCATAGGGCGTTTGCCCGTAGGTAACTCAATCAATTCCCAAGTGCCATTCTTCCTAAGTGCTTTCATTTTCTCAATCATGGCAAGTTTCCACTTGGAGGTGGCACGAGCATCCTGAAAATGATTAGGAATGCTAACAGAGGAAATATTTGACACAAAAGCTCTATATGAGGATGGCAAATGAGAGTAGGACACAAAATTTGAGATAGGATGTTGAGTACAAAATCTTACACCCTTTCTCTTAGCAATAGGAACATCAAGATCAATAGGAGTATCAAGATCAGTGGACTCAATAGATTCAAAGTTCCCTGGACTCTCATCAGAAGCAGAAAATGGCAATGGGTGAGCAGAAAGGTCTCTTGTATCTAGTTAACTTTTTGTCTGTCTTTATCCCTGACATAACCTTGCCCTTCCATATCCTTGGTGACATTGGGTTCTGTAGTCCCTGTAAAAGGTGGTGGTGCATGAACAACTGGTTCCACCATAGGAATTACAAGAATCACTTCACACAATTTTCACTTCAAAGTTCTTAATCCTGCGAAAGAACCTATAGCCTTAGTTTTCCTTATTACTAGCTATTTCCTTCTCTTTTGACCTTCCTCCATGTTCCTCATTTAAGAACTTCCCAAAATAGTTCTTCCATCTCTTCTTAATCTCTTCATCCTTCATCATTACCTTAGAGTCCTCATTCTTGATGCACGTAACTTGATTAAAATCTCTTGTTTTCATCTCTTATCGTAGCAAGCTTGTATATTCTCTTCTTCCTCTCCTTACTGTCTAGTCTAGTGTATAGGTATCATAGGCTTTCAACTTAGCCTCTCTCACTACTTTTTTGACCTTCTTATAAGTCAATTTGTAACTCTTAAGGTTTTTCTCAATTCTATCTTTCTACCACTTTTTAAAGCACTCTTTTTCCGTCTTTACTACCGCTTGAACCTCCTCCTTCTAGCACCAAGTTTCCTTAAAGTTGGGTCCCTTTCCATTTGATCCTTGCTATTTCACTTTGGCATTGATGAATACCTATAATAAATATTTATTTACTTTGAACTCACTTCACCAGCTCATACCTCTCAGATTTGATGCGCCCACCTGCACCTTTGCACTTGCAGTGTTGGCTGTGAAAGATCAATCAGCCAAAAAAGAGTAGTAAAATTCTATAGCTTTTAAGGTTTTTATAAAATCTATTAATCCCTTGCCAATTATGAGTGCATAGAATTCTTTAATATTGATAACTGAATCCATTTTGTTTTTCCTGTAATACCTTTTTGTGGAATGTGAGTGAGTCTATTTTCATTAATTGTTGACATTTTTATTTTCTGTAGGTGCATAAACGTGCTGCTGACTAATCCCATATGGGTAATTGTTACGCGCATGCAGGTAAAAGGCTGGTTACCTTTTGTCACAAGTCTTTGATGCTCTAAAACATGAAAGTGGCACCTTGATTAATCTTAGTTGAGGTTAAAACTTAAAACAATGCTGTTTCTATAACATCTATAATTGTTATATAGACTTGGGAGTTTCATTGTGGATTCATTAGTTAGATCGTTTTTCTATTTCTTTTCTTTTTGAAAGTTAATTTTTGAAGTGTGTAACAGAAGTGCATCTGGCCTAGTTCTATTGGCCCTTTTTTTTTTAATCGACAGAGACACTTTTCAATTGTCAGTTCCATTGCTGGTGGTTCGATGAGTTAGTCAGCTATTATGCGATTTTTTCAAAGTCATTATGCATTTATTCTGTTATGTTGTTCTGAGTGTATGTCATGGATTATCCTTTGAAAAGATGTTTCTTGATAGCTCGGAATGTTGATTGGCTTTTATTTAGTTAACTCCTAATCATTGTGATAATGCTTGGTCACTGATAAGTGGCTTTGCAAATATGTGGGATTAGTATAGCTTGTGGTCCTTTAATTATGTCTTCAGCAAGACTGTGGCTTGAATCCTTATTTGCTTAGATGTTTCCGTTTCACACCCTACCAATTAGGAAAAAATACACAAGGCCCAGTTACAAAGGTGGTTATTTATGATTTGAATGGAAGCCGTGATAATTCTGGGTTTTAGTCTCAGATGGTTCAATTCATGACCTTAAATTTTGAATTTTGTGGTTATTATGATTTGAATGGAAGCATCGATAATTATGGGTTTAAATCGCAGATGGTTCAATTCATGACATTAAATTTTGTATTCTGGCAGAATCATGCAATTGAGAATGATAGCGTGATAGTACTGTTATTTGGACATGAGAATAGTTGATAATCATGCTAAATTATCATTATTGTTTTCTTTATTATTATTTACTTGATTTTATTCAGTTTGGTCAGAGTGCTCCTTTTCAAAGCTAATGACATGGATGTGGATTGTGAGATCCTTTTTTTTAAGATTTAAAAATTAAGAGAGAGAGAGAGAAGTGGCATTTTCTTAACAACTCTGTTCATTTGATTGCAACTGATGATATCCATGATTAAATTCAATTTATATCTAATTTTACAATGCTGATTTAAAATCCCTTGATAACTATGTCGTTTTTACCATATTAATCTTGCAATATTTTCCTGGATTTGGCTTTAACAACCTTTGACCCGAGTTTTAACTTTTGATTCATGCAGCCATGCTAATTCTTTGAAAATCATGTTTTTTACGCAGACTCATACAAAGAAATCCCAACCTAGTCATCCTCAATCTATTGATTCAGACGAAGCAGTTCTTGCTGCAGTGGAGCCTCCTCCCTATGGAACTAGCCATGCAGTATGTGCAGTGGTCTTATGTTATTTCTTTCATAATTCCTTACACAACAGAGCAATTTGACTGAAGCTTTTATGGCATACTCTGCTGTAGCTGCCCTTGGAAAATTTAGTTATTTTTGTATATTTTATTGGAAGAAGTGCAAACTCCATGTACCAGATGTTTGAGCCATGACTAGGATTGGGTCAAGCAAGTCATGTAATGCCTAAATAAATATTAGTTGGGTGAATGGTTGGCTACAAGAGTAGGACTTTTGTTAGGAATTTTTATATTCTGATTCACTGTAACCATAGAACGGTTGTCAGTTTTTCTTGTCATCGTCCTTCATGCCATCCATTTAACTTGGAGTAGTTACCATGTACAGATTCAAGAAGTTTATGGTGAAGCTGGAGTTTCGGGATTTTGGAAAGGTGTTTTGCCAACATTGATCATGGTATGTGAAAAGTGACTTGAACATGTGCCATTGAACTATCATTGATTGTTCTCACTGTTGATCACAGGTGAGCAATCCCTCCATACAGTTCATGCTATATGAAACCCTGTTGAAGAAGCTGAAGCAAAGACGTGCTTTGAATAACAAGGATAACAATGGTATAACTGCTCTGGAGGTAAGTTTTTACGCAGACTAAAGTTTAAGCATTACCACCCTGTTTCTAATAATTTTCCATTTTTTTGCCATGTTACTAACCATTAGGCACTTGCATCCTTCCCACCATTTTTTATTCTGCTGTAGGTCCTGAACATTTTGTTTATTCATTTGTTAGATATTTCTGCTCGGAGCTTTAGCAAAACTTGGAGCCACTGTCGTAACATATCCTCTTCTGGTTGTGAAGGCAAGTGACACATGCTTGTTAACAAATATGGTTTGAGAGCTTGTATTTCAGCTGAGTTTTGTTTTGATAACTCTCAGAAACTTTATTTCTGTCATGTTACCCATGCAGAATTGACTGAAATGTGATATTCTGACTATACTTATGATAAACTAGTGGTGGGAACAAACCTGATGCGTTTGCAATTTACCATCTAAACTTTTGAGCAATTCGAAATGAGGAAGATGTGTTAAATTTGAAAATTGTTTGGCAGTTCTATTATGGGCATTTTTTGAAGAGAAAAGAGCTTTACAAATCTTCAAACCATCTTCTGAGTTGTGTGCTTTATATAATACTATAGATAAAAGGTCACATTTCTCAGCTGAAAATATTCCAAAAGCAAGGGCCCCTGGCCTTTCACTTTTTATTCACCTATGAGCTGACCTTGCTTGTCTTCTGTGTTTGTCTGTGGCTGGGTTTCTCCTTCTTCCTCCATGTGTGTGAGGTCTTTTATTCACCTATCTATGACCTGACCTCACTTGTGCATGTGGCTGGGTTTATCCTTCTTCTTCTTCTTCTCCTCCTCCTCCTCCTCCTCCTCCTCCTCCACGTGTGGGGGAGGGAAGGAACAGTTTTTGGGTCTACTCATCCAAGTCTTGACAGAAATTAACCGAGTGCTGTGAGCAGCTGCTTTGAATGTTTCAACACCTTGCTGGGATAGCACCACCTAGGTGATTCAGCTGTTGGGTTTCCAAGGGAGCAGCAGTTGAGATGCTACTTGCCCAAGGTTGATGGGAATCCATGTTGAACAAATACATTTTGAAAGCAGTTCATGAGATTTGATTATTGGGTTTTCCCAAGGGGCTTCAGCTGAGATAGCACTGGCCCCCAAGGGACATGCAGGGATCCTGTTTTAACATACATATGCTATTTTAAGCTATACCCAATTATAAAGGATAAAAGTGGAATTATATTTGATTTCTCATTTTTTGAACAATTTTATTTTGTTATATTATATCTATGCTTAATGTTGAAAATAATATAGACTGTGAAGTACATATTGTCATTATTTAGGATTTCTAGTGGAAATCCAAAATGCATAAAGCTGATGAGAGGATAACAGAAACAGAAGAGTTAACAGAGATGAAAACAAATTTAGAGAGAGAGAGATTGGTTTCAGTGACCTAGTCTGTATCAGTGGAATTATTGTTGGATCTATTCAATTTTTTGCTAATTTGCTTGTTTTGTTCCGCAGGCAAGACTTCAAGCAAAGCAAGTTTCTGGCGGAGACAAAAGGCATCATTATAAAGGTTTGCATTGCTTTATCTTCCACAATAGGGCAGTGTGTAATTCTCAACCTTATCTATGGTGGGACTTGAAGATGGTCTATAGGCTGAGATAGACAGGAAATAGAATGCAACTCAACACTGAACATTGTCTTTCAACATCTTTTGTTGATTCTCTCTCTATCTCTCTCTCTCTCTCTCTCTCATGCGGATGTGGGGAAGGGTAGGTAACTTGAATGAGACCTCTATATTTCACGGAGATGGTAAAGAATTTCAAATGCCGCATGCTCTAGAACTTATCATTTCTGGAGGTTAATATCAATTAGCTAAAACTGATGCGGCCGATAGAAACAACCTAAATTTCCCTCTTTACTCAATTCCTATTTTCTTAATGTGCTATCAATGTTGTGATGCTGCTGGCATGGCTTTCCTGCAATACAGGCACTTTGGATGCAATCATGAAGATGGTACGCTACGAAGGGTTCTATGGCTTTTACAAAGGGATGAGTACAAAAATCGTACAAAGTGTACTTGCAGCTGCTGTCTTGTTCATGATTAAGGAAGAACTCGTCAGAGGTGCTCGTTGGTTGCTAACGAAGGATGCCAGTAATGCTGTGAGATCAAAGCGCCTCCATAACTGAAACTGTGTGTGTTTTGTGGGACAATCAGAACAAGGTGTTGCTAATATTAAGGTGCTTTATTGGGGCAGAATGGGGGGGGGGGGGACTTTGTAACTTGTAGTACTAAATTGGGATATTATTGGATTTTATGGGGACCAATATGATTGTTGCACAATGTTGAACTTTTAAGGTGCATTTTTTGGTGATTTTGCATGATGGAACTACAAAGTAGCTATTCCATGTGTATCTTGTTGAAAATGGATCACTAACCAAAGTATTTTATTTTGTTTTTTCCTCTCTTTCTTCTTTCCTTTTCTTTTTATTTCACAAATCTAAGGTTTTGTTTGTCATAATCTAAAAAAGTCAAAAAGTCATTATTCTATTTAAGTTATATTATCTTATTTAAATTATATCACTTCTCTATCACATCACTTCAAACCTAATCTATACTTAATTCATATTTTATAAAAAGTTAAAAAGTATACTTATTTAGATTATCTCAAATCACTCTTAAGTTTCATCGGTGTATTTACGATCCCTCTCCCTTCTATATACCATTGAAATAGGTTCTTTCCTCAATTGAATTGCCGCAGTCCCCTTCTTCCCTTGTTCATTGCCTCAACCGCCTCCGTCTCTCGCCACTGATGTGACTCCCTCCTCGTGACAGATCCAAACCCTTCTTCCATTGTCAATCACCTCCTCTCGGTTGTTGCACCTCTTTTCTTTATGTTTTATTATTTCTTTTTGATAAAAATTAGTTTTATTAAAACATGTTTCGAAACATGAAAGGTAAAAAAGGTCAATTACCAATTTTTTTGCTGTCATTTCCTATAATTTTTTAGAGGGGAAGGAGGTTTGTATGATTTCTCATACAAATGGTGCTTGCATTTTCAATAAACTACACCGTAGATTAATATAATTAATTAGAAAAATGTGGCAGACCCCACCTCCCAGTGACCCCCAGCCCACGTGACTGTGGGTGATTGGAAGGAAAAAAAAAAAAAAACTGACTGACCCACTACAAGAATTTACACATTTGCCGATCACTTTTGCCGACCAAAAAAATTTTGGTCGCAAAAAAATGACATTTGCCGACCAAAATATTAATTAGTCGCGAATGATCATTATTTTTGGCGACCAAAATGAGTTGGTCGCAGAAGGTCACATTTTGGCGACAAAAAATGAGTTAGTCACAGAAATTGGTATGCTTTTGGCGACCAACTTCAAATTTGGTTGTGGAAGGTTACATTTTGGCGACCAAAAAAAATTAGTCGCCAAATTAGTACTTTTAGCGACTAATATTTTAGTCGCCGTGGATTGAGATTTGGCGACTAAAAAAGTTTGTCGGCGAAGGTACCTTTTCTGCGACTAATCTGGTCATTTGGTCGCGAAAAGCTTGGGAGGGAAATTTGAAACATGTAGGGGGGAAATGAAAATTTTTTGCGACAAAAAAAAATTTGGTCGCCATTTATAAAACGACGTCGTTTTGTACCCACTCTCTCTAAAAATTTGGTCGCCATTTCTAATCCCGTCTCTCCTCTCTGTCTCCAGCTCGCTCTCTGTGTCTCTCTATATGTTGATCTGCCCTCTCCCTCTCTAAGTATTCTCTCTCTCAATCGGTGCCCATTCTCTCTAGCTCACCGAAGTCCCTCACCACCATTGCTCACGTCCGTCGCACATCGCCATCGCCCTCTGTCTAATGGACTCCTCATTTCTGTGGGATCCTCACCCAATCTCACCTCACTCAATCTCACCTCATCGCTGACCAGCGTCGTACGCCACTGCTAGCGCCACCGCCACCGCCGCCACCGCCGCACCCTCACAGGTTCTCTCTCACTCTCGATCTGTCTGTCTCTGTTTCTCGCTCTCTCCCTCTCTAGCCTTTGCCCTCGGTCTCTCTCTCTCTCTCTCTATAATTTGGGGGCTATGGAAGAATAGAGGATTGAGGTCATAAAGCAAACCTGTGTTGTGATGGATGTAATGTGGATTTATTGATTCGCCATCTAATTTCACCTATATAATCTGAGTTTTCTTGAGGATTTTGTAGTATTGTTGTTCTTTACTTTGGTTGTGATTGCTTTCTTTTTGGTATTCAGATGAATTTAACGTGAATTGTGGATTCATGTCGATTAGGGTTTCTAGGGTTTCAAATTGAATGTTTATGACTTTGTTTTACTCAAATTTGATTGATGAGAAAACAAGGAAACATATAAATACATAAACCAGGTTTATGTTTTGATAAATATGGAAAACTCATACTTTAATTAAAAAGCCTAATTAGCTTAGTTAACTTCAGACTTTGAGATCATGTTATTTTGTTGATGTTTCTTCATTTTGTTGGATATACCTAGTTGAGCCTCTGTAAGTGGGAAAATGTCTGGTAGGCAATAATTAGCATAATTTTGGTTACTGAGCATAATTTTAGCATAATTAGCATAATTTTGGTTACCCATTATTAGCTTTTTTTTTTTGGTTGTCTTTCTATGTTTTAATGAGTTAGTTAGTCTTATATTTTTTGCTCATATTGATCTTTAGGAATGAAGAAACTGTTTAATAGGCTGAATTTTCCTATCCCCTATGTGAAAAATGGAAATGTCAAATAATCTTTATGTACTTTTAGAGCAAGTAAATATAAATAAGAGTACTGGAATCAATGTTTGAGAAATTTTGTGGCAATGAATAAGGTTTTTAATTTTCCGGAAATTGATTATGATTAGGTACAATTGGTTCGGATATAATTGAGAGTACCCGAGTATGGTTGGACGACTCAGAAGGTCTTCCATTTTCTCAATTTCGTGGTCAATGGGGGTGTGTATTTTGCAGTGAAAGCATTGAATGAAATTAAGGCATCTCTGGGATGAAGGGTGGTATATTCATGGGTTGGAGATGACCCTTGTGGAGATGGTGATTTACCACCATGGTCTGGAGTCACTTGCTCGTTTCAGGGTGACTATAGAGTAGTTACAGAATTGGAAGGGTTACCTTCCTTTACTCTGTTTTGTGATTGTTGTACATTTCTGAACAAATGGAATAAAGTTCTTTGTCACTAATTGTTTCACCATATTATTTGTATATGCTGTTATGTTGTTAATCCATCAAATTAATTCTAAAATTGCTTCATTCTAGAGCTAGAATGGTGAATGGAAGGACAAGAATAATGGAATTATGAAAAGAAGTGTGAGACAGCTTGGATGATGATATGGCTTCTGCCATAGTTATCAACAAGTTTTAAGGACATCTTTCTTCATTAATTAAATAAAGTTAAGATGGTGATTTAAATTTCATGTCTGAAATAATTGCCCGAAAATTGGCAGAGACAACTATAGCATCAACATCCATGTGAAAGATGTTAAAGGTATATCTTTCATGCATTGTTTTAAATAAGATGGTACTGCCATTTGGAGCTTGGGGCCTATGTGGTGTATGCAGCATCTGTGACCTGCTGTATGATTGCAATGACACGGCAGACCTAATCTCCAAGGTTAAAATGACTTGGCAAATAGTAGTGTTGTTAGCTGTAAGCCAGAACAAGGCTAGAAAGATGTTCCTTCATTCCTACATTACATTTGTGGATGCTATGTGTTTCTGATACTTCTCATCACAATTTGTTATATCTTTTAGAGAAGTAGTGTGATCCTAATATGGAAATGCTAATGTGCTCTATCATAGGTAATGATAGCCTTATCCCCAAATCTAGTGGATAAAATATGTCCTATGCAGAGGAGTATCATTTACTCAGACGTGCTTACCTATTCTTTTTCCATTTGTATTTCTTTTTTATGTGTGTTCTTGGTCATCATCTTTGTCCCCTATTAGTTGAGGACCCAGAAACAAGCATGTTCTTCTCTCTTTGGTGGCTGTTGATGGCGTTGGTGCTGGAATTGACATTGAACATGGAAAGATAGAGTCCTTTTATTATGATTTTATGGGTTGTATGTAGTTTTAGTCTGAATGCATTTTTGACCTCTGAATAGGATGGGTTAGAGCCCCTAGGATGCAGTATGCATTATTATTACTATTGTTATTAACTTTTTTTAAAATTTTTATTTAGCTGGTTCCAAATTGTTGGAGCAAGGTCTTTTTGAAGTGAGTTTACATTAAAAAAATGTATGATTGTCTCATTCACATCCTAAAATTGCAGTCTTTTTTTGCATGTCTTTAGATATGACATCTTCTTATTCATTCCATAATACTTCTTTAGATTGATGCTCTACATATTGATACAACAACAATTTTTTTTTTCCAACCACTTCATGTGGAAAACATTTTCTCCAATTTTGAGAACTCTAGCCCACTTTCTCTGATCTTTTTTGTTTTCTAATTTTCTGTTTACTTACAGTATTTTTCTTTCTTATTTCTTTCCAGCAATTTGAGGTGGAATAAGCTGCAAGATGTCATTCCTCCTGAAATAGAAGAACTAAAGAGTCTAACCCATCTGTGAGTAATTTCATCATCTTTGAGGGTATTAGTTTTGTTGGAATTTTCTCATATTACTTATTCTATATACTATTAATGTGTTATAATGAATCTTCTGCAGATACTTGAGTTTCAATAATTTCAAAGGAGAAATCCCCAAAGAATTAGCTAATCTTCCTCTGCTACGTTACCTCTATCTACATGAAAATCGTTTTATTGGGCGAATTCCACCAGAATTGGGCACTCTGCAACAACTCCGACATTTGTAAATTTCATGTTCTATTCCCTACAGTATTTGTATGCTTTACTATTTGTATCTCATTGCAGATAATCTCTCTGTGATAACCATGTTTTCATAGGGATGTTGGTAACAATCATTTGGTGGGAACTATTAGGGAACTAATGCGTATTGAGGGATGCTTTCCAATCTCTTCGCAACCTGTAAGTCTATGCTTCAGTGAATTTTGAAATACTTAATATTTTCCAGTTTAAGGCTATTAGAGTCGTAGTTCTTATAAAAACCATTTTTGATCCTTTGTAATTCTGATATGCAGTTATCTGAATAATAACTACCTTACGGGTGAAATCCCAGCTCAGCTAGCAAACTTGACTAATTTGGAAATCTTGTAAGCATTTCATTTTCTTTTTAACTGTATTAAGACTGTTATCTATCTTCTTTCTGGATTTCTTTTTGTTGTAATTGAAACCATCTTAAAAAATTGAATGCTATGTTTGTAACAGGCATTTATCATACAACAAAATGTCTGGTATCATGCCATCTAGACTTGCTCATATTCCCCGATTGACTTCCTTGTAAGT